AAGTTACCTGAAATATGGAAGTTGCTGTGTTTGGGGTTTTTTTTGTTTTTATTGTCAAGATTTAGTACCTTCTTGGCTTCAGAGCTATGGAGGTCTTTACAAGTCATCTTGGTTGTTTTCAGAAAGTTGTAATCAGTTTATATCTGAATATAAACTACATACCGCCCTGTGAGGTTTATAATCAGTTTGTTTTTAAGCATATTTTCTTTTTGGAGAAACCAATCCTATTATCTATAGTTACTTCTGAAAATGATTAACTAAATGAGGCTGGATGTCTTTTCGAACCTGTTTATAACTAGAATGGCTAAAAAGGAATGTGTGGTTAAAATAGTTTTGAAAACAGAGGTCACTGCCAGTCTGACAACTCTTAGCTGATGCAAACTGTATTTGTAATCCAGTGCCCTTCAGAGTGGATTTTATTTTTTTGCTTTTTTTCTGGCTGTATCTCTCAATAGTACAATGTATAGAATGTTAGAAATCCATGTGCTGCAAGAACATAGCGGAGAAGTTCCAGGACTGTTTTTAAAAACTCTAAGTTTAGTTCTTTCCCCAACACTTCACATCTTTGTCTGACTTGGTCTAAACACACTGGAGTATTTGGGGGAAGCAGAGAAGTGAAAGCCAGTGTGATAATACCAAAGATCTTGTGGAGCTAAAGCGTAAGAGACTTCAGCCCAGTCCTTAAGAAGATCCTCTGCAAAAGCCAACTAAGGAAACTCAAATAATTCTTCCCACAAAATGTAGTTATTCATGGAAAGCTGTGTGTATTGCAGTGAGGAGGTTTTTCAGTGAGGAGCACTCTCTAATATTATTTCAGGGAGTTGGTTATGTATGGTTTAATGTTGTCTTGGTAGATTTGATTTCAAGATGTTGGGGAGGGGGAAGGAGAGAGAACTTGGGGAATCCCTGGTTTATCTCCTGATGCAGGCTGCTGCAGAGTCAGTGCAACTTTGTTGTCATTTTAAGGCAATCTAACTGCCACTCCTCCAGCTCCCGGCTGACACCAGTAACTGTGTGACAGCTTAAATAATAACAACAATAAAAAAGAAAAGCCAAATCGGAGAGCTGGTCTGGTTGAGTGCAGAGCTTCGCGCTCCCTGGTGCTGGCACAAGGAAGAGTCGGAGAGCGAGCAGGGCGATCTGCTGGGGAGGTGACAGCAGCCGGTGGTGGGACTGACTTGGGCAGGCTGCAGAAATGTTCTCTAGATAAATAATGGATCAAGTTTCCAGCCCATAGGTTGTTTGGGATGTCCCTAATCCATATGTAGTATTACAAATCACTGGGGTTTTTTTAGGCTGTTGGTACTTTCTGGAGCTTGTGAAATGCCCCCTTAAGAAATGCTGGTGATATTTCCCTGCTGCAGAGAGTTGTACCTTCTTTGCATTCCTAATCTATTACCGTCTGAGCAACTTCGTTCTTCTGAGCACTCTCAGTGACATGTGTCACTTTGGGGTTTTTTTTCAGCAGGCTGTATGTACTTGAAGTTCATTCGGGTGGTGAAACCACATTTGTTGTAGGTCAAGAACAGACAGGTATTGGCAAGCGTCTGCCACGCTCCAGTACAGGCGTGTGTCAGTGCTGGCTCATGGTGCTTCCTCCAGTCCGTCCTCCTGTGCTGGCTGCAGTCTGGGTGAGTTGTCCAGTTCTGCAAGATGAGCTAATGAAATCTGGAATGAACCACCTTCCGTCTTTCACTGGCAACTCCATGGCAGTTAAAAGCTGAACTCCTTTTTACAGGTCCTTGTGCCATCTGAGTATTTTCTGCCTTTAATTTTTGGATGTTCAGCATGTAAGTTGTCATTCTTGCAAAGCTTTTCTGGTATATGCCATGAATGTCTGTAAACTTCTACAGATTGGTCATAGTGAATAAGTCTTATGAGTAATAGTGATAGTATATGGCACAGAAATAATTTCTAAGCTTAGATTTATATGTCTTTTTCTAATATAGACACATTTTCCAAGATGAGGTCTCAAACTTTCTTAAATGTGAAAAGTGCTGGGTTTGTTGTTTGTGTTGTTTTTTGTTTTTTTTTTCTCTCCAATATAAACGTGTATGGCTAAAGACCCGTTAAAAGAGTGTCGGGTTAATAACAGTTAGTGCATGCTGGCATATCGGTGCTGAGACATCTTAGCACTTCTGGAAATAAGGACTGGAATAATTAAAGGAATTTAATGGAAATTATTTTCCCATTAAATTTTAAACAGAAGAAAACAGGGATATCACTAGGATATATGAAATGGGAACACAGCAATAATTGCCAGTTAATATTTTTGTTAAAATGTAGCATATTTTTATCATGTTTGCTTGCAAGCAGGCTGAGTAAACTAGTATTCATGATGCATTTGGGGTTTTTTTAGGACTCTCCATGGTTTTTGTAATGGAATTGTCAGCTTATTGACTAAGCAATCATATTTGCCTTTTTATTGTGAGTGTAAAAACTGAGCTCTTTAGCATATGATTTTTGAAGAAATATAAATTTTTTGACAGTTTTATTTAGCCTGAAACGCTAATGTATTTTGGCTGCTTTTTAAACTATGCAGTAGTGCAGTCCACCAAAACATGGAACCAATTTCTTCAGCTTTTTTTACTCTTCCTTTTGACAGGAAACACAAATAACCCCCTTAAAAACCATAAAGTGATTCCCCTCCTCTGCAGGCCCTTTAAAATAAGTAGGAAGCCTGTATTATAATATTTATTTTATCAACCCACATAATGGAGCAAAAATAAATGTAAAACAAATGCTAGGTCATGCTGGGAGATGTAAATCAGGTGACAGATTTTGATCCGAACTCTGTGGGATACTATCAGATGGCTTTGCCTACATCAGAAGGAGTGCACCCTGGCAGCTGAAGTTGAGCAGTCTTGTCCGTCGTGATTAACTTACACCTCGCATCCCTGGGAAGCCTGTTGGAGTGCATAGGCATCCACATAGACATGAAGGTGGCTCACAACTGGAGCAGTTTGTAGAACTGGGGACTTAAAGCATGCTTTTTTTTTTTTTTTTTCCCCCCCTCTAAATAAGGATTGTAAGAACTGTACACTCCGTGGCTGTCTCTATATAGCCCAGCTCACTAGGCTTTAGTTTTAAAAAAAAAGACATGAAAAAGGATATATTTACACCATTATAAACAATTCTAATAATAATCTGAATACAATTTTTCCTTTACTCATTACCAGTAAAACTTGTTCATTAGTCCTCGTTCTACAGATTCTTTGTGAAAAGCGAATCATCAAGATGTTTTATTGTAGTGAGTGGAGTTACCATAGGGTGAGTGCAGGAGAAATACTACTAGAAAAAAATTCAGATGAGTCTCAGCTTTTGTACAGGTCTATTTAAAAATAATGCAAAAAGTGTGTCAGTCCCACCACTTGGCTACTTGTTTCATGTAAGCTGAAAGAATTCTGCCTTTGCTCCTTCGTTGTGCGTTAATAACAGCCGGTGCTGATGATCCCCTGTGCTAGTTGCTATTTACCGATCAACAGAGGTATCTTTTGGGCCAATGTTACAGAATGGGACAAATAAGAAACATTTGTTTCTTATCTATATTATGTTTCTACTTTCCATTTTGTTGCCCTGGTCTACCTTTTAACCTTTGCTGTGGCTTGTGTTTCTTGTTGCCAAAATAACGTTTATTTTCCTGTTGTACATTTCTTCCTTCCTCTGCGTGCTCTGTCATTCCCACCTGCTATTTTTTTTTTCTCTCCACCTTCCTGCTTTTATATTCCTTTGTATTTTCAAAAGTAGGGAGCTGACTTGGTAGACAACCAGCTTTGCTGAAAAAGCTGTTTTGGTTGTGGGATTAGAAAACTCTGCAAGGCTGGGAATGTAACCTCACCCTTTAACCAGGTGCTGCTTTGGGTGCGCAGTACTGTCAAACCTTCCTCAGCCCTGTTAGAATAGCTCTGGTCTTCTTAATGCCATGCCCATATCTGGGATGAACAAAAAGACTGGGTTTAATTTTCATATTTTATATAACCTGCACTAGGACTTCCACCTGGAAAAAAAAAAGAAAAAAATCTTTAGCCCTGAAGTGGTCAGGCGGTTGGACTAAATGATGTTGTAGGTCACTTCCCACTGAAATAATTCTGTTCTATACATGCAAAAATGCTTCTAACTGGAATAACTGTCCAAGAACATGAACCATGACTGAAACTGAAGACACAGCTTTTCATTTCATTCTTGTTTATAGCTGATTTTGACTCCCTTCAAAATGCTTCACAGTGATAGACATGACAGGTTTCAGTAATATTCAAATACCTTTCTTGAATATATTTCATTTAATTTGTTTGCTTTCTTATTAAAAGATGGCAAATGAGTATGTTCTATTACTACTTTAGTATTTCATCATTTCTTTCGACAATTGTTTTGTTCCATTTTACAAACACCATTGGTGTAATTGGCTTTACTTTTGTGCAGGTCTTCAATGATGCATCGGCTGGGAGTTTTTTTCAGATTATTGTCTAAAATACTTTCAAAACCAAGATGTGATCTCATTTAATTGTGTAAATTAGACTTAAAACTGCCTCAGAATTAAACAAAGCTTTTGTGTCGAGGTAGTCATTAAGGGACCAGGACCCATCCACAATCCAAGCTGCAGCCTGCTAAAGGGAGGTGATGGTAGTGTTGGCAGTTAATATAGTCATGCTCTCTGACTGTTCTGATGTAACACTGCTTAGCTGTAATTTTAATTTTCTGTACAGAGCTGTACAAAGTTATAGCCAAGAGATCAGTTGGCCAGAGCAGATGAAGGAATTGAAGCAGGTCAGGTCAAAAAAAGAAAAAAACCAAGTCTGTCATTGCTGTAACAGTTGTCTTCAGCTTTGATTTCACAGCCTGTGGAAGAATGTTGTACCAGGTTTGGAGGAGAAACTTTTGAGTGTTATAGTTTATATGAATATTCCACTAGACAGGGAAACAAATTTAGGCAAGAGGATTCTGACAGCCCTGGATTTTTGAGGTACATGAGGAACGATCAGTCATGCAGAAGTCTTGCTGTGATGAATTGTGATGGGAAGAGAAATCTTTACAGAGAGGTAAGGGATGCTATTAATCAACAACAAAAGAGCTGTCTGAGTGTTGGAACAGGGTCAGACGCCTCGAGTGGTCAGGAAGGTTTTACTGAAAGTTTTGTGTAGCTTTTCAAAAGGGCTTGAGTAATGGTCTTGAAACCAGGGAGAGTCATTGCAGATGGTGGCTGATGCCCAGTGATGCTGAGCGGATAAGGGATAGCAGCTAAAATCTAGAAAAGATACTTCTTGACATTGGATTCTCCTTCTTTAAACTAGTGATTTGATTTATTTTACTAGTATTTTTTTTCAGGACCTTTGGTAACTTCTTCCTTCTTGCAGAGCAGTCTGTGGTTTGCCAGCAATACTAATTGTAAGGCAGCAGGTGTTTAACCATGATAATGAAAGTGCAGCACTATGGATTGCTTTTCAGCCAAAGCTGAGCTTCCACAAAGACCTTTTATAGGTGAAAATTGGGTCTTCAGACTCAAACTGTTGGTTAGGGACCAGTGAAGCGATGTCACGTATATCCATTTCACTGCGTTCCTTCTGGTGAGGCACATGCAGATTGCATACAGTATGTCATGGTGCTGTGTTGAAAACCCACAGGCTTTGCTTTTGTGCAGACCTTGAGCATGGACAAGTCTCAGCGTCAGGGCTGTTAAACTAATTAAAAAATTCATAGTATGAATTTTATATGAAGTCCCAGCCAAGGTCGCTCTTTCAGGAAGAAGTCCATGTGTACGTGCATTTCCACATGTCAATGTAAGGTGTCACCTTTTTTTACCATTAAACTGTTCTTCTAAAGAATAACAGGTATGGTGATGGCAAAATATTGACAAAATAACCTTCACTGCTGGCAGAATAACTCTTGATGTAGTTTGGATATTGGTTACCAATATACTTGTAGCATAGCCAAGTCTCGGCTGTTCATTCACATCCTCGATATATTTCAGCTAGAAATTGGCTGTAGATGGGGAAGGAAAGGCTTTGAAACGTGCTTTATTCCCTTTTCACTTGCTAGCTGGTCCATTCTGGGACAGTAGCTGAAGTGCTTCAGATAGTCCCTGGCATTTCATTTGTGCAAATACAAAACAGAGCAGAAATGTGCTGTGAAGACCCTCATCTTTGAAAACTTTGAAACTTGTCTGTCAGTGAATCACAGTCCAGTTTGGGAAGGTCTGTCAGAGGTGAGCGGCTCCTCTTTAAAACTTTGGAGTTGGGAGGGTTATTTCTTGCATTCCTTCTCTTTGCTTTTGTATCTTGTGAGTATCGAAGATCATGTCTTCCAGTGAGCTGTTACTTATTCTGTAGAACCTACAAATACTTTAGCAGCAAGGAGTCCTGTTTATTCTCTCCAGCACTGGCATCTTCAGTTGTTTTCTTCGCAAGATTCTTGTATTTGGTCTGATAAAAAGAGAAACTTTCAGTCATGTGGAAGACATGGTTGATGGATTCCTTAAAGTGAGACCTCTGCTTGGGTTCAGTCTATATTAATAGATTTTTTTTTTTACATAACTTTACATAAGATTTGAATAATCTTACACTGTTTTAAAAGCCTTGAAGCGCTGTCAGGAAATGGCCAGTATCACACGTTTAGTAGTTCATGTACTTGTACAAAGAAAACATTTCATCTGAAACATTGTCTTTCAGATATTTATTCTGCAGCCTAAATCCCATTGGAAACTACCTTTTTGGCTTCTTGAAGAACATTGAACGCTAGTGTCTGGAGGCAATACCGGGAGTTTTGGCTTGTTCAGAAGATCTATGGCATCTGTTGTCTTTTGGGTTTTGGTTTCCTTTCAACTGTATATGGCTCAATTTTTGCCTATTTATTTTGCACAGCTTGCAGCTGTTGGGACTATCACAATTTCCTACTTCTAATGCATTTGAAAGGAATATTTGTAATGTATTGTTAAGTCCCCTTGACCTTCTTGAGTGAAGAATTTGTGTTTTCATTATGCTCCAGATTAAGACTTTTTAATTCTACAAGTATATAAATAGAGTAATAAACCCACTTAAGCACTTGTGTACTCCTGGAGTGTAGCGTAAGCTCTTTGGAGTTTTATTACTCTTACTATTGTTTTTATATGTGGTCAAAACATGGCTTTTCTTGCTTTTTGATGAGTGAATTATGCCTTTGTATATGCAGTGAGACAACAGGATTATGCTAAAGCACTCTTAGGTCAAACTTCAAAGGATACAGTTCTGCAAATAGCATCCTTTTGTCATTGGATTTCTACTTTCTACTACCAGGAGCTTTTCTTATTAGAGTTTGCAGAAATAACCCAGGCTACCTCTGTGTCTTCAGCAAAGCCCATTTTAGTGCATTTTATTCCCCTGTTTGTACTGCTGTTTTAGGTAGTATTCAAAGAATCGTTTTGAGTGGTTTAATGTTTGTTTGCTTTCTCCAAAATGCTGTCCCAAATTCCATTCAAGTGGTTTCTAGAATAACTTTCCTGATACTCAAATCCTTTATGATTCCAGTACCAAGAGCGAGCAAAAGCTCGCTGTGTAACTGTGTGTCTGGGGGAAGCACTGGATTTTTCTTGTGTGTCTCAGTAAAAAAGAAGATTAATGGGAAATTGATGCTCCTGGTACAACTGCAGGTGTCAACGTGGACAGTGCTTCAGTTTAAGGGTCTAGATATTTCTTGGTGTAATCCTGACCTCACTTCAGAGGTGGAATATTTAAAGTTTAACTTTCTTATAGTTTTGAGGAGATTGGAACATCAACAAGAATGCCATATGGCAAAGTTTTTTCTTAGCTGTGTGGCGAAGTGTGTGCAGTCTGTTTGATTTGATATGCTTGACTATTTCCTTTTTTTTTATCTCCAGCTGGTAACTGTGATCTTAGATACAACTCCTTCGTGTGTGAGGGTCAAAGAATGAGTAAGAGCCTGTTAATAGAGGACAGTGGGAGTTGTAAAGAAGGAAAGACAGGAATAGAGTCTGCCTGAGCATTTTTCTGTTCAGCATTGGCAGTTCTGTAAAATGGAGCAAAGGATGAAAACATTGATCCTGGCATTTGTTCTGGACAGTTATGAGTTGGATGATAGTAAATAACCAGCTCGAAGGGGTGGTTCCCGAGTGGTGAACCTGCACAAACCTGTGGGTCTGAGATCTGTGGAAGGGTGTGATGTGCTAGGTGTGAATGAACTGACGAGGAGTATCACACCCTTGCGGCTGACCACAAGTGCATGCATTTACTGTGCAAGGATCCTTCCCAGTGTAACTGTCTAGGATGGAGAAAAGTGGAAGTTCTCTTGAATGGCTTGCTGTGTTCATGACGAATATCAGTTTCTAGAACTGCTAAAGCTAAATCCTGAATATTCAAAATAGTTAGTTTGGATGTATTAGGTGGGGCACTGTAGATTTTAAGGGAGTTACCTGCTGCACTTGTTATCTTCCAACTGTGTTTTCAGTGGCTGTAGGAATGTACCAGACAAAGGAATTTTTTTACTTCTGTGGCTAGTACAGAATGTTCTAAAGGTCTTTTCCTTTTTCTTTTTTTCCCCTCCTCACTCTAGAGGGAAGTTTCTAAGCAGAAAGCTGAGGTGTGGATGTACAACACGCTGGCTGTTCTGCACAGGCTTTGTCACTGCTGTGGAGTACTTGAGGTTTCTTCACGTTAGCTTTCGAAATAGTGTTCCTTGCACCTGAGTGTTACTGGTATCCACGTGGAGAGTTAGCAGTAAGCATAAGCAACACCCCTGGTGCATAGCAGAGAGCTTATACAGTCTGCAGAAAATAGATTTTGATTATTTTATGTAATATATGTGTCTAGATCTCTGCCTGAATGTGTTTTTCTCTTTGTGTATATATGTAATTTTTTTTTTGTTTTTCTTTTTAAGGATTGGACCTATCCCATGAGGAGAGAAATGCAGGTATGACACACTTCCATTTACCGTTTGAGTAAAAACCCGCGGTGCATTCAGAAGAAGAAAGAAAGTGCCCTACAAAAGAGCTGGTATGAAAATCGGTCTTCAGGGGTAAAATGTCAGGCACTGCCATGGAAGAGATGTGTGAGGACTGCCAGCTTAGAGTACAGCTGTGCTTGGAACTCTGTCATGCAAGTACTGAAAAAAAAAAAAAATCTGTTATTTTCTTCAGAATTCCCAAAATACTACATTTTTGTCTTTATGAATACTTTTAGAATATGATTGCTAAAAATATATTGAAGCTTTGCTTTTTTAACTTAAATTTGGTTGGAACTGTTCTCAAGTAGGACAGGCGATTAAAATTTTCCTACCATGGTGTCAGCCAACCATGCAGAAGATAAAATCTACAGACCTACGTGTCTTTATTGGTGGGGAGATAAATGGTTAAAAATTGATATTTACCTACTACTAGGACAAAGCTAGAACTTACCATGCGTGGATCTTTTCCCATGAGAGCGATTTGGAATTAATTACAAGGCATGATTATATACAAAGTTAAAGTTCCCTTCATTTGATCTGGGGCTGGGTATGATGCAGTAATCAAACTGAAACTTAGTCCAAATAAAGGACTCGATTCCTGTTCCAAAACAAGATCCCCTGCACAAAGATCATGTTTCTTTTATTTTGCCAAACCGATTTTTTTTTCCCTGGTCCTGTTATAAATGACACTCGATAGCACATCTCTCACTAACATGTAAATTACTCGTTTCCATAGCCGTAGTCTGAGTTGTATGCAATGTATTATTTCAAATAATTTCAAGTTGGTATTAAGTGTCTGTTTTTCTGCTCCTCCTAGGAAATTTTACCTGGGTTATTTTTAGGCCCATATTCTTCAGCTATGAAAAGCAAGGTATGATTTTTCAAAATAGTGTCTCGTAAAGAAACTTTGCTGTAGTGAGTTGTTACTGTGGTGATACATTCAAGTGTTATCTATACAGGTATAAATTTGTTTGTAATCCTGAACCGGAACATGAAAGATGCCAGACAAGCAGTAATACATGGTGTATTTATGGGATGGTCCTTTTAGGCTGCAGGATTATTGGACTGGGGCTTGTGTTGATGGCTCCCCTTTCCAGAGTGAATCTGAACTACCACCTTGGGCACATCCTGGGCTCGTTGACACTTACAAGACTGTGTTTTCCTTGTGATCTTGTGAGCTAAAGGGTTGCTTCAGGGGAAAAATGAAAAAGAACCCTGATTGATTTTTCATGTGGCTTGAAGTTCTGCATATGTTCGTACACACACACGCATGCTCGCTCAGTTCAGCTAGTCAGCTTTACCTGCTCCGTAAATGCAAGTTTGAAGTGACTTTCACACCAATTGCAGTGAGCATTCATATGTGAGCTTTTTGTATTAAAATTGAGTCATATAGTTGAGCTTGTATATAATTTTTCTTACAAAAAGTTAAAACATTTGAGATTTGCACATTACTACGAGGCAATCTGTTTCCTTTGCTAAAGTGTTAAAATACAAATCAGAACTGGGAACTCTCACATATGCATTGAAATGCAATAAATTGCATTTACAATAGAGTCAAGAACTGATAAGGCAAAGCTTGAGTCTGCAAACTTATGTCATAGTTTAAATGATCTTACTTCCAGTGGTCTGATTCCAGCAAGAATCCAACACTAGCTGAAATTACTGCATCATGTAGGGACTTGCCATTTCGGCAAAGTGGAAGGTGGGCAGAGACAAACAAGTTCATCGAATGCCTTCTTTAATTGCCTGTTCTTTTTATCACTGTTAGGAATGTTGTTGTTGTTTTTTTTTTTTTTCCCCCACACTATGCTTTTGAATATTACAAAACCAGCTCTGATTTTCCTTGAGGACATGATATTGCTCTCTTATGTGTTTAAGTATAGCTTTTCTTTTTGTTACTGTACAATAAATTCAGTAATTTTTTAAAAAAATGTTTATTTTTTCTTTTTTCACAGCTACCTATACTGCAGAAACATGGAATAACCCATGTAATATGTATACGGCAAAACATTGAAGCAAACTTTATTAAACCAAACTTCCAACAGTTATTTAGGTGAGAAATAATCATAAGATGGAGAACTGCAAACAATGAAAAATCTTACTTTTAAAAACCTTATTCTGTGTTATTGAGATTTTTTTTTTTGTGTTAGTGTCCTTTCCAAATATTTTCACATTGTCAAAAATATTTGAAAAACATCCTAAGGTGTAGGAAGACCCTTAAATCCAAACCGTGAAGTTTGTTAATCCATTCAACTCTAGACAAAGACAACACTGCAAATGAGAAGTATCCATGAGTTTAGAGTGACTGTCCTCAGTTCTGAAGCTGTTAGTACTGTGTACAGTTTCTCCTGCTAATAAAACATTTGAGGTAACTTAGTCAGAATGTGTGTACCTCTGAAAAAGTTGTGTGGACCCCCAGGAAAGAACACTGGCCCGTGTTTACAAACTGATGGGGAGCATATGAGCATGCAGTACACTGCTTTCCAAAAAAGCTGAATCACCTGTAGCATATACACTTGTGAATTTCTTGGTTGCCCAGAGAAGCTGTGGATGCCCCATCCCTGGAGGGGTTCAAGGCCAGGCTGGATGAGGCTTTGGGCAACCTGGGCTGGTGGGAGGTGTCCCTGCCCATGGCAGGGGGTGGCACTGGATGGGCTTTAAGGGCCCTTCCAACCCAAACCATCCTGTGATTCTCCCACTCTGAGATGATTTTGTCAGGGGATGTTGGAGAAGGTTCTTCACTTGCTTCCTTATCAGGACAGCTCAGGAGTTTGCTTGTTTGTAGAAGCTGTGGATCTCAGACCAGAAAGTGAAGCCGGGTGGGTGTTGCTGGGCTCCTGCAGGTCTGAGTTTTGTAGCAGGGTAGAATCAGCTGTACGCGGACAGGCGGCAGCAACTCAGTGTGATTTTGTACTCACAGCAACTGTTTTCATTGTAGGTATTTAGTCTTGGATATTGCAGATAATCCAGTTGAGAATATAATAAGATTTTTCCCTATGGTAAGTATTTGTATGTTGATGTGAATGGACTGGGAGCGGAGTTGCCCAGTGAGAGTTTTCCGGACTAACAGTTAGCAGTTTCAAATTGGGCACACCCAGCCTGAGGCACCTGGAAGGGCTGTGGACTTTTAAGTGACCTCCTTATTGACACTTTAGTGAGTGTAATTAACTCCTTTTTACAAGTATAGAAACAGAGTTGTAAGAACTGTATGTTGTTATGGTCACAAAAAAAAAAAGAAACAAAAAAATTTATCTCAAAAGAAAGAAATCAGGTCATGGGAGAATACCAGAGAACTTGGCCTGTAGGAAACTTAATTTTTGAGCCCAAGAGTATTTACATCTCTTGTATCAAATACTGAAACAAATTCAGCAGAAAATAGTAACTACCTGATGTAACTAAGTTTTACAGTGTCTTGAAACATTTTTACTGTAGAGGAATTAAAAAGTAACCAAGTTAAACAGTACCCATTAGATACTTGTAGGAAAACACAAGTGTCAGTCCAGGCCACCTTGATGTTGATGCTTGCAGAGTTTTTTTTGTGGTTTTGGTTTTGTTTTTTGTTCTCTTTTTTTTTTTTTTTTTTTTCCTTCCCCCAACTGTTTAGCAAAGATGTCTGGAAGTTGCTTTTTATTGTAGTGGCATAACACGTGACATAATGAATGTAAATAACACACTTACTGGATTTTTATGCATTTTTGTTTCTGCCTTCACACTACTTTTTCAATGGGTAGTTAAAAATACAAAAGAAATATATATAAAAGTCCAGTTGAAGTGGTGTCTAAGTCTGTATAAAGAGTGCATTTTTGTCACTAACAAATTTTACCAAAATTCTAGCAAATTTAAATGCAAGTAGCAGTAACATCTAAAATAATCTGAAACTTTCAGTCTTTTTTTTTTTTCCTTCACAGACTAAAGAATTTATTGATGGAAGTTTACAAAGTGGAGGTAAAATCATATTAACTTTTTTCCTTCATTTACTAATACATTGTTGTTAAAGCTTTAAAACTAACTTAGTGGTATGTATTAGAGGCTCTTAAGTATGAGGTGTTCTTAAATTTCAAGTTTTATTGTGCTTGACTTGAACTATATCACACAAGTTGAGAGCAAAGTGTTCTTTCCTTTTACCTCTGACTGGAAAACAAACCTCTGTGTGTGTCTGTTTTTTTTCACTTTAAACACAACTGTGTTCTGTGCAGGAGTTTTTTTATCTCCTCTCTAATGTAGGGCCTTCAATCTGCCTTGTGGTCCTGGAATGCAGATTCTCTTACTGAAAATCTTCAGAGGAGCAGGAATCCATCCCAGGGCAGTAACAGACAGTGTAGTTAGTAATCTAGAGTGAAGAAAGACACACATTATTCTTGGGATGTAACTTGCTACCGTGCAGTTCTCCATAACAAGAAAAAAACTACATTTCAAAGAATTTTCTTCAGTCTATACAAGTATGGTTGGTTTTAGTTGTGTTTTTTTTTTCTTGTCAGGAAAAGTTCTTGTCCATGGAAATGCAGGGATTTCTAGAAGGTAGGAAACTGTCCATCCTGCTTATTAACTTTTTTTAGACCATGAAAATTTATTTTACTAATATTTTTTTGTTTCTTTTCAGTGCTGCCTTAGTAATTGCATACATAATGGAAACATTTGGGGTGAAGTACAGGTAAGAACAGAGCGTGGTCATGTAGTTAACCATTTGTCTGAAAATGCTGAAGTGAGAGAGCACTTTAGTACAGATAAGTCTGATATGTCTGTAGGTATTCATTTTTAAATTCAAGTGGTGTAAGAGAATAATAATTTTGGACTGAACAGAAACAGTCGTGTTGATGCATGAGCCAGTTGTTACCTACTGAGATTGAGTGAAGACTTTACATGGGGCAGGTTATTTCCCTTAACTCCACTGCAGGTTTGTTTACATCCTTTCTTTAAGAAGTACGTACCTGCTGCTAATGGAAATGGGATACCAGCCTCTGTAGATTCGTGCCTGGCTGTAAAACTATAGGAGAGGCCCCAGGAGGCTGTTCTAAGTAGTGCGTTGAAAACAGGCCAGCAAGCTGGAGACTGGAGGTGGGGGTGGGCAAACAGGGTGTTACAATTACTGCTTCCTATTTTGCCCAAACAATTTCGGTTATACAAACCAGTGCTGAGGAGTGTTTAGCGGTGGTGTATTTCCAAAGAACTGATAAGTGGAAGAAACACCCCTGAAACCTCAGAGACGTTTATCAGAGTCTGTTTTCCACTGAAGTATTTTCTCTCCTCTTCTTAAGGGATGCATTTACTTACGTTCAAGAAAGAAGATTCTGTATTAATCCTAATGCTGGATTTGTCCATCAACTTCAGGTGACTTTGTTTTTTTTCATGGTCATAATTCCAAAGCCACTTCATGGATTATCTTCCTGCAAAACAGCCATTTCTACTTAAGCTTAACATTTACTGTTTCAAGTCAATGTCAGCAGCCGTCACAGAGCTTGGGAGGAAGATGAGTCAATACCCTAGTTCATTAGACTTAAGCTTTCGACAAAGCAAATCCAGGAATGGAGGAGAAATAAAAATCCTATTCTGTGCAGTGATTAAGAGGCTCAGAAACAGCTTAGTTGGTGGCTAAGGAAACTGCAAAGTGAGTATTGTAGCACACACCAGTGCTGCTTCTTGACACTTGCAATCATAGGTGACGAAATTCACAAGTCTGAAACAGCAAACAGCAATATCATGAAGTTGCTCTATCATATTCCAGGAGTTTATTGGGTAAATAGACTCCTGGAGGTGGGCATCAGGACAGTATATTGAAACCGATTTGCAGTGTCTGCTATTACTTACGTGACTGGCAGCAAGATGATTGAGTATCTCTTGAGTTTGTTGTCTTTTTTTTTTTTTTTTAAGAAACTCCCGTGAGGAGTTGTTGTGTAGTGCTTAAAAGCATGTCAGGTCAGCAGAACACAACTTCAAGGCTGTGTGTGGTTTGTCCTTGTAACAAATCTCTGAAGCTACTGTTTGGTTTGTTGCTACTGTCTGAATTGCCTTCTGGGAGCAACAGGGAGTTCTCTGAACATTCTCACTGATTTTTTTTAAATGAAAGTTTACTCTCTTTATTAAAGCCATTTCTTGTCATCCTTTAAGTTTTCTATTGCTTTGTCTTCCTGACAGGTTTGTTGTTCATGTGAAAGCAACAAAGATCTCTCCTCCTCTAAAATCTCTGCCTTACAATAAGATGCTCTCTAGTCTGTCCTGGGGAACTCTCTGAATTAGTCCTTCTCACCCTTACAGAGCATTCTGCCAAATTAACAACAATATGTGTTATTAAACTTTTTCAGGAATATGAAGCCATCTATCTAGCAAAATTAACCATCCAGATGATGTCACCACTGCAGTTGGAGAGATCCCTCTCGGTTCCACCTGGTACCACAGGTCAGAAACCTCTCCTGTTGTGTGTGGTGCCGCCTGTCTTACCTGCTGTTACGAGGTGACTTTTGCACTCCCTAAATAAACCCCCAGCAGCAGCCAATCTCACACTTCTGAGAAGATGGCTGCAGTTGGTGTGCAGGTTGTGTTCAAAATTTAGAATGCAGTACTTAAATATTCTCTTCTCCTATGGTTGAACTTTCCTGGGGTGTTGTCTGTACTTCCATACCATCCTGGAGAAGGGCCCTGCCTCTCCCTGTCCCTCAAAAACCCTGAGTTCCCCAGAGGAGTCAGGAGTGACAGGTTGAAAGCAGACAATGTTCATGACATAATAAAAATAAGGCAGTTGCTTTGAAAAAAAGGTTTTGCTGTGCCATTAAGCAGATAATGGGATTAGGGCATGTAAAAAATATTTCCTTAATCATAGAGGTGTGCCTGAAGCAACCCCTGCCAAAGGTCAGTGAAAACAGATTTTTTAGGGGAGATGGAAAGGGAGAGCAAAAAATGGTGGCTTCTAGGAAGTTTATCTTCCGTGGGAAGAACAGTGCTGTGAGCAATTGTCTGTCCAAAAACTGAGTGTCTTCAAAGGGTAGAGTCCCTGCAAGAAGACTTTAATAAATGCCCTGTGTTCCTACTCAAAGCTGTGTATTATTGGAGATGATATTTTCAGATGTATCCTCCTTCCTCTTTCCTTTTGCAGGAAGTTTAAAGCGAATGCATGAGGAGGATGAAGAACTTGGAACCATGCAAGTGGCAGCAGCACAGAATGGATGACACCTGAGGACAAGCACTCTTTGTATTGTGAATTCCTGCCAAGAAAGGTGAAGAAAATTAGGGAAAAAAGAATTAATACTGCAAAATGATGAACACACACATAGCTTCTTTTCAATTACATGTTGCTTTCAGATGTAAATCTGCCTCTGCAACACACTAAGCATCATTTTTAAGATGTTGGACTTCTTGAATGAATAGATGGCACTGATTGTTTTACTCCTTTTTTACACTTTACAGTTTTATTCTAAACCAAGATTTTTGGACTTGCAAAGAGGTATTATTGCAATAATGCACTTTTCATACTTGAAATTTCTTTATTTGTATGATATAAAGTTATTACTTTAAATGAAATGCAAGCTGGGGGGGTTTGTTTATAAAGTTATTTGTGTAATTTATAACAAGAGACTTTAGTAAAGAAAAAGTTTGCTAAAACTCACCTTGTTCTCAGAATGTGTTATGGTTATGCTTGTAGAAACATGCTTTATGAACTGCACTATGCACCACTACTGGCAACTGAGTGATCTAATCAGTATTTAACTCATTATATATTGAGTTATTTTGAGCCTGATGTCCTGAGACCAATCTAAGAGAAAATACTGTTCTAAAAATCTCTACTTGTTTTATGCAAGTTAAACTTCATCAGAGTACTGATTAATTGCTTAATAAAACAGTCATGTGCTAAGTTAATACAGAGAACAGCTACCAACTTTACACCCATCAAGACTGTAATATTTCAGCTAGCATTAAAAAGCTGCTTATTATATGTTGATTTAAGAAATTGAACAAGCCAGTAGGGTCCATTTATCCACTGGCCATAATAGCGTCAAGACCTAAAGGATTCTCCTCAGCTCTTCTAAAGCATTAGAGTTCATTAAGGCCACACATTTATCGGTGCTTTAGAGTTTTCAAATTGGGAATTGCCAAGGCAGTTCATGCAGCTTTAACTCTGCTCCCTTCTCGCTGTGGTAACCACTGGTTGTGCAAGCACAGCCTCTGTTCTGTATCTCTGCTTTATTTGCCAACCAGCCTGTTGCATAAAAGAGAGGAATGAAATGATGGCTCCTTCAGAGCGCTGTGATGACCGAGCAAAGTGCAAAGCTGTTAGCAGAATTTGTGTATTTGGGAAATCTGATCTTGTAACTAGACTGTATTTTAACAGGGGACAGGTGGGCTCAAGCAAGTTGAGTCAGTATAAGAGACATCTGGGGATCTGGGCATCCAGCTGTCTCCCTGTGCTCTGATACGACTGCATGGGAAGGGTCAATGTCCTCTGCCAGCCTGGGCACTGAGGGCAGAGTGACAGCCTGGGGTCACCCTCTGAAGGCAGATACCTTTGAATTTGAAGGGATGAATCTAAGCAGTGAAGCCACTTTGTACCTGTACCATGAGGATCTCTTCTGACGCTGCCTTTTGCTGGAGGATCATCCAGCACCTTGTTTACTTTGTAGGATCCTGTTTGTTTTGCAGTTCTGCCTCGCTTTGTGTATTCAAGGCAAGTTGACCAGGCCTGTGGCTCGCTGATCTTTGCTTAGTCACTGATCCTCTGCCTTCTCTTGCAGCCCGGCAGTCCCTCCAGAGCAAGGCTGAGCTCTCAGCCTGTGTCAAGGCTACTTAGCAACCTCTTACAAGTAGTTATCAGAATCTGGTTTGAAAAGTAGTACTGCCTGCGTTAAAGCGTGCTCCTGGAACAAATGCTGGTGACACTTGGGGAGGAAATCCTCTGGCAGTAAGCCAGGGCTCTTAGCTGAGTCAGCACACCTGGGTGAGGCTTTATAGCCCCATAAACTCTTCCCATGCGGAATGTGAAGGCCCAGGAGTGCTGCATACAGGGAGGGTTCACAGCTTCAGTGGAGCTGAACCAGCATCAGCAGCACTTTCCCTTTACTGCTGTCTGTCCTCTGCCACCGATGTCAGTGATGGAGCAGTGCAAGTCCTTCAGAAAAAAAAATCTTTAAAAAATGTATGGTACTTAGGAAATTTTTAGCTTGAAAAGAGAAGGTATTACTGTTATTTCCTTAATAACTACAACGTGTCAGCGTTAGGCTGACTGGCTGAGCGTGCAGTGCTGGTTCTGCAGTTGGAGGGTTTATTATGGGCTGTTAACTGACTCTCTTTAAAAGAACGCTTCTGGGGCTGTTGGGAAATAAGTCTCCAGTGTTCCACCACTTATCCCACAAGGCTGCCACATGGCTGCAGTGGGGTTTGTGGATGGCTGTCTCTCTTGCACAGCTTGCCAAATGCTGCTAGCTACTAGCTTCTGATGAAACAAGGCTGGGAACCAGAACTTCTGCGTGAAATTGCTTTCTATTTCAGCTCCCCTGGGGTCCCTTGGGAAGGGGTAGAGGTGACATATAGATGGAATAACACTCTTGATTCATCAAACTATCCCCTGCCAAACAGGCCTGTTTGTGTGTCGTTTGGTTCTGTTATCTCACTGGGGTCCTGGTGTGTCCCTGAGGAGACTGTCTCACAAACTAACAAGCTTCATGACTAAGGATTTTCCACCAATTTTTTTTTTTTTTCATGCCATTACCCCCTACTGCTGTCTTCTACAGTCATGCTGGTCTGTCTGCCTGCTGCCTTGCAGATAGCAGCCTCTCAGATCCTGAGGGATTCTGAGATTAGTTTTCCTCATCTCTATTATTAAGCTTTTATTTAAAACTTTTTGACATCTGTCTCATTTAGCTTATGGCTAGTAGGTAATTACAGTTTGAATTACTGTTTGCTTTCTGGAGTTAAACTAAAGGTGGTAAGTGGCAGCAGGAGTCCCTCACTGTGGCCCTAGAGCAGCAGTAGAGGTTGAAGTTTGGTTTTTTTTCCCCCCCTTCCCTAGGTTCAGACACAAAGCTGCAGTACACAGATCTCTGGGGATCCACAGCTGTATGTTAATGTGATAAAGTTCCCAGCTTAGAGGAAGCACAGTGAAGAAACTGGAGATCTCTTCCTCAGGGGGTGAGAGTTGTTACCCAAAAAATTAAATCACAAGGAGGAGGTAACATTAAACCTCTGGAGAAGCTGGTAGTTATGTTATGGTTGATTTCTGACAAGATCCTTGATTCCTTCGTTCCTGGGAGAGGGAGATCTTGCTCTTTCCTGCTGAGCCAATTGTAGATAAATTAATGGGGCTTCTTCAGTTCAGGAGATGCATAGTGTATTTTAGTACCACCTGGTGCTGTTAAATGCTCTTATTTGTGGCATTTTCCTGGTTCCTGTGAACTGTGACAGTTTAAAACACAAATACCTGTGTACTAGCTGTTCTTCCAGCTGGCTGGGGCATGCCTGCAACCACAGTGGCAGCTGCAAGTCCCCAGTCTGGGTGGTATCGGCTCTCCAGCATCTGCCTGCAGTTTGCAGATATGTTCAGGGTGTTTAGCACGTTTCCCAGTTACGCTTCCGCGGCCTCTGCTGGTACTTGGCCAGTTCCTGCCCTGCAGCTCCCACCCACGAGCCTTCCCTCACAGGTTCCTGACAGCCTCGCCCTTAACCAGGTGTGACATGGCAGGTGACAGTACCTCTCCTCTCCCACCACAGAGCTGCTGTAACTGCTGTTTTCACAGGAGTCTACCAGTCTGCCAAGGTTGGAATTGTCACCTCGGGTACAGAACAAAGAGCTCTTCAAAACTACAGCGGATGCTGAGGAGCTGGATTCTGCCCAGCAGAGGCATTGTCATGCAGCCACAAAACCAAGCTTTCACCCTAATTCATTTGTTTTACAATGATCTGAGCTGGGTACACAATCACCTGCACTTGTGCTAATCTTTTCATTAACTTTTCATTAATAAGGGCCTGGAGCTATTTAGATGGTGTAGATATCATGGAATTCAAATAATCTACTTTAAATTAGTGGAAGTTCAGAATTAATTAAAACTGTAAAAGGCACAAAAATCTACCTCAGTCAGCTGGGCCAGCATAAAGCAGTCACTGATTTTCTACAATTAGTTCAGAGTTGGGGCTCAAAGCCACTTAGATTTTCTGTCTGGGAGAAGCCCTGCTCTTCCTCAGGGGCAAACACTCTTCAGAAAAACTGAGTGCCTAGGCCTAAGTGCTGGTCTGCTGGGGAGAGCAGGGGCATGAAGGCATTAGAAACTTTAGCCTGGCTCTGAGATGTGTTTCCTCCAGGTGTGGTCCAGGCAGGGCTGGGCTTGTGTCCCTGTCCGTAAGCAATCCAGCTGGGGTTTGTGCCTGCAGACAAAGGCTCCACCGCCAGAACAAGCCCAACCTTTCCTTTGAACACTTGCTTCATAGAAGTCATACTTGCAAAGATGCAAATCTCCATTGGACACACACTTAAAAGCAATATCTCAAAAAGTGTTTTTTTCAGTCTAGGAAGAGCAAGACAAATGGATTTGCAGCAGATGGTACTGCTTTGAAAGACAAGAGATGCACACTTACTTGATACCTGCTGCTGGGCACTACACGGCAACGAGAAAACCAGACCAGAGTCAGTGGGCAGTCTTCATTTATTCAGCTTCAACAATGATTTTTTTTTTAAAAATAATCAATAAATAAAACAGACATGACCAAGGAAACACTATATTGAGTGGAGTACCATCAGGAACATTAAATAGAAACCCCACCACAGCTTAAAGTAGCTCTCCACACCACAATGAAAGAACATTTTGTAAGGCCTAACTGTTCACAAACAAGACTGGCTGTTCTGTACGAACTTTCACGTATTTATAATGCCCTATTCATAGATGTAGGATTTGTCACTCTCTTCGCACAAAACGCTGCTGTTGAAACCAGGGCTTTGTACATTATTTGCTTGCCATCACTGGCAAAAGTGCTAAAATCATTTAACCAATCTTCTAGCAAGAGGGATGTTCCAAAGCAGCAACAGTCCCTGAGGACCAGGACAAGGGGATTTCTCTGCTGGTTGGCTGTGCCCTGGGCATAAGCTGTCACCAGCAAACCCCCCAGCCCTCCTGACCCTCAGGAGTTCAAGTACAGCGACTGGTGAAGCTGAATGCATTACTGCTCTCTTACAGACACAGGCATTAGCTGCCAATCCCAAACCACCTTCCTGTTAAGTACTAGCAAGAGCCCCACTAAAGATGGGGTGTATTCTCTATCAGACATTCCAGTTTCCCAGTTACCTTCGCCCTGTCGCAAACCATCAGGTTATTTTGTCAGAAAAAAAAGTAATTATCCTGAAAACAAAGTTATCAGCTAAAGTGCAGGACACCCCTGTAGTGAGAAGTACACATCCATTTTCAGACTCGGAACATCAGCTTTAGCATAGCCCGTAAGGATTTTCCCCTACCCATATGAACAGTAACAATTCAGTTTTGGAAAACAGTGCCTATAAAACATCAACAGCACTTCAGTGCGCCTTCACGGAAAGAACAGAACAAATGCCCATTCTGTATCGCTAATTCTGCATGAGAGAAGCCTCATTCCTACCTGAGCTACGTCACCCTTCAGTGAAGTACAGACAGGAGAAAAACCCCACAAGCTGTACTTTGGCTACCAAGAAGCAAAGCGCAAACCTTTAGAAAAATACAATGCAAGAAAAAATTTGAGATAAAAATATATACCTTTGGTTAAAAACCATCCTTTTAACAAGAGTCCTTTGTCACTCAGAACAAAAAAGCTTCACTTAGACTGAACAGTAGTAAAAATTAGTTCTAAGAGCTTATTTCCTAACCCAAAGGACCCTTCTAAAACGTCAATAATTTCTTTTTTTTGCAGGATTTACACATTTGATGTTCATTATTTATAGGGATTGTTATATTTGCAGCAGTAAACTATGTAAATTTTCCACAAAGAGAATGTTTGTAGGACAAGCTCCTCCACCAACAGTCTTTAAAAAAAAAAATTACTAGAAATTCTTAATTAAAGAACCGTTGAAACATGTAGTTTTCTTCAGATACCGAATAGCCAAACTTCTTGTAGAAATCCACATTTTTTGGCAGACACTCAAGTGTAATTTTGTAACAGTTCAGTCTCTTACTTAGCAGTGTAAGAGTGGACGTTAATCTGAAAAAGACAGAAAACCATCAGTTAAATAAAATGGCCCTGAACCCTGAATCAATTAACATTTAATTAGCTAAAGCTATCAGCCCTACAATACTGAACTTTTGCAGCACTCTACATTTTCCTTCACTACACATGATAGTTGCCATCCCAAGAAAAAAAAAAAAAGAACAAAGCACCAGCGTCTTCCAGACAACTTGATGTTACTGTTGTCAGAACCTGAGCTCGCACTCTGCCAGCGAGTGATACCTTCTGGCTAAACCCTTTTCATGTGCCTGGCTGGGGAGGATCTGCCCCAGGCTAACCCACAGAGCTAAAATCCTGCTCTCGGAGGTCTGGGGAGCGATCTTTGCCAGCTTGTTTTCTGGCACCCGTCAGCGTGGTAAGGTGAGGGGACAGAAGCTAACTGTGTTTGCTGGTTGAATGGCAAAGGTGGTACAGTACTTACAGTTTACCAAGCTGCTTTCCTCTGCACTCCCCGCTTACTACGACATCTTCTATCCTTCCTCTCTGTGAAAATACAGGGAAGCGTTAGTCGAACAGAACACTGGTGTGACAGCTTCCCGACTGCTTTATGTTTCATGCTTGGATTTTCTGTTTAGATACAACTCCTCCAGTGGTCCCCGTGCTCGTAATGCCCCTTTCGGTACCCAGCAGGAGCTGCAGTCCCACCACAGTCCTTCCCCGCTGCGGGATTTCTCTCTCTCCAGCTCCCTGTTTTCACATGTCTAGCTGGGACTCCACACCAGCAAGATCCTCAGCCATCTGCTCCGTCAGAACCCAGTCTGACTAGTTCAAAAGCTCACTGGGAGGGAGAACAGGGCAGATACCAAATTGCTCTTTTTCCTTAAGAAAAGCCAAAGCTTCCTTTTTACTATTTAGCTGAGCACCCAAGGATGGGAGATATTTTTAAAATGCCTTTGTCACTGACTCAGCAGAAGATACTTCATCACACTGTAACACCATAAAAATAACACACACACGGAGTCAGGGGGCAGGATCTTTTTTCTCCCTTTACAGCCGCAGCAAGAGAATATACCTTTGCACAGGAGTGAGTGAACTTATGTTCTATCACCAGCGTTGCTGTAGCAACAATCTGTCCAAGATTTGTGTCTTCTACAACAGTAACGTAGTAATCTCCAGATCTCTTCATGTGCTCAAAGGTTTCTGTGGGAGTAGACAGACAGCAGCACAGTCACCGTTAATCTCAGATTAAATTGCTGTGAAGTCTAATGCTTGCAACAGATCCTGAATGCAGATCACTGCAGGGTTCAGCATCACCAGGAAGATGCGCCCAAAACCCCAGAACCTGAAAGCTCCAGAGTCAGACTAACCCAGAGACAGAATCAGGAAAAAGCAGAAATTAAACAAATGCCTTTTCCTTAGCAACCCTCCTTCCCCAGCGTCTTTGCAGACAAGCACTACGATTAAGATGGAAGCACCTCTAAGTTTTCTTACATCTCAATCCAACCAGCGAAGCAAGTTCAGGATGCGGTTGAGCCATGACCTGAGGGAAGCCTCTGCCTCACTGCCGGTGCTGCAATAACTCAGCCAAAACAACGTCACCCAGCAGTCCCTTCTGCCAGGTACCTAAAGCTGGATCTAAAAGCAGGTACCCCATTTAGGCCTGTCCCAGCCAAGCAGCCCTTGGGGATAGCTGCAATGGGATCCAAGGCTGAGTGCCAAAGGCTGCCTCAGGGGAGCTGAATTCATAAACCCCTCTGGCATCAGGCAGTTGGGAGCCTCACACCCAAGCAGATTTGCTGTCAGCATCAGTATCCTCTGGTTCCCAGCAACCTCTATGGAAATGCCAAGAAATAATCTTATACTCACTGATAAACTGCTCCGGGCTTGCAACTCCAGTTTCAGTCAGCTGACCCAGAACCTTAAAAAAGCCTGTTATAAAAGAAGAGAGAAAACCACAAACCCTCAGTGAGGGACAGAGACACACAATTAGCCCCGAACAACACAGAACAACCCGACACAGCTGTTTGGAAAGGTACCATCCAATTCAGTCGTGTGTAAAAGCCTGCGCTCTGCATGTTATAGAGCTAGACTGTAATCTTAAATCCAAACTCCCGCCTTGAGCAACGCTGAAGGATCAGCTACGGCATCAGCAACAGACTGCAGCTCGAGTGCAGGAGATGCATCCATTCAAGAAAGAAAAGTATAAGCCTGAAATTACACGATATCAAGCTGTATGTTCAGAACAACCTTTTTATCCAAGTTACAGGACTGAGGAAGTCTCCGTGCACTAAGAATAATATGCTGGTTCACATTACTTTTATATTAAAGGCAACAGGGTGAACAACTGCACTCCCTCTCTGCTGGGGTGAATAGGAAGCTGTGGATTATTTGAAAGATTTGACTTGAATTTTAAGATTGTTTTTGAGTTTATTAAAACAGTAAAACCAGTTTTGAGGGTCACCCAACACAACACCGATCCATGGTGCCAAGGGCTCAAATTTCTTACTGATAAAAATAACCCAAATCAGATAAAATGAGCAATCCTAATCTATTGAGAGGTAATGCAGAAATACACACTATCTAGTTTAGCACCCAGCTTTTGTTTGTGATTATCATTAAACAGGATTCTACCTCGATTTAAATCAGCCGTGCAAAGTGGTCTCAAAACCAGGCCATCTCCTGGATCTAAAGGAGAAATAGCAGGAGAAAACGTTGTCGTGTTCTCGCTCCAGTCAAGTTCATGCAGAATGCTCGGGTCGAACATCGGTGTGTCGTCAGGCATCACGGTTGCAACAGGCATCATGGCTGCAACACGGTGTTCTGGAACAGAATGCACACGGGTAAGAAACATTTTGGGTTGCTGTTGTCTTAATCTCTAAATATGCTCTTTCTCCTGGTTATATCATAGAAGTTCCTCAGGGATGTAAAGAAAAATGAACGAAACCAGAACTGCTGTCCACTTTATCTGCAACGGAAGCTCCTCAGCCTTCACGGGACTGGGCTGCTGGGTTAAACAAGGAGTGCACGCACTAACACCACGCGTGCTATCTAAAGTCAACACGTGTGGCACTTTTGGGTACATCTGGGAAGTTTTTCTCTTAGGAAAAAAAAAAAAAAAAGCAGCTAAGACACCAACTAGGATATCTAACCTCTATAGCCCTCTGAAAAGGAAAGCATCTCACACTCTCAAGAAACCTCCCCTAAAATACTGTTCACTGAGTGCAGAGGAGATAATTTGTATTAGTGGTTCCCAGCAGCAGGAGTAGCACACTTGTATCAACCTGTCCCACCACATAAATGTTTAGTATCCCAGCCAAGAGGCAGTACATCACACAGATCGGATGGCATTGCTCGTGCAGTCATGTTTGCTGGGTGTATTTACACACCCGAATGCCATCTCGGCTGTAAAGCACCGCGCCTCACTGTCCATTAACAGGAAAAACGCAGAACTGCCAAGATGATGGTGAGACACCTGTTAATCATTAACTCGGAATCGGGGATAAGAGGAAGCAAAGGAATATATTTTCCTAATTGCTGGATATAGGGAAATAATTCTTACTTTGTCACCTGTGGAATTACCTGGTCAGGTTTCTGGTATGAACAGACCATCTCATGGGAACTTCTCCTGAGACTAAGTTCTTTATACATTTTCAAATTAACTTAGTTGCACCAAAAAGGTACAGTAGTCGCACACTATTGGACAGGCCAAATAAACATCAGAAAGAAAAATGGATTTAGGATGAATACTTTTCAAAATAAAATATCTTACAGCCCTGTAAAGGTGCCCAGAGAAAGTACGCAGAGAAAGTACGGGGATATTACCTATGAGGCATCTCAGCGCAAATGCAGCACGCGAGCCTCAAAACTGAAGGTGGCTCTGGAAACCCAACTGAAAAAGCTTTAAAAAAAAACCCAAACCACAAAATCTTTTTTTGTGCCACCTGCTGGTATGCACTGGCCTTTAAATCCCCATTCTCATCTCAGTCTTGCATATAAAAGTAAAAAAAATGCTGTTACAGCAATTGAACAGCAATATGAATTCTCAACCCACGTGAATTTTCAGAATGAAACAGCGGGAAAAATGAAATGCAAAGAAAAACATTTCCATAGATGGGAGAGTCAGAAATAAGAATCCAGGTCTTCCAAGTCCCAGTCCTGAGCTTTAGTGACCAGATCACACTGATGTGTGCGGAGGACTGCAAGCCCATCACTAGCGTATTAATTATGTCACTGCTACGCAAAACTGCTTCCAGTAATACACTTGGCATCTCTGTTCCTAGATGTTGATTATTCTAATGTTGCTGTCACCCTGTCCCATTCCAAAGCCTTCCTAGAACTCATGAGTGTTCATAACAACATGCAAATAGTGTCCTGTACAGAATTAAATAAATCTAATTAATTTCATCTCAGTGTTACAGCATACCGGACACACACAGCAATAGAAAACCACATTAAGGAAATAAATTTTTTTATGCTTTTCAAGCAGTTAGGATTTTTTTTTTTTTAAATAAAGTGACATACTAGAGAATTATCTTTCAAACTACATCCCGCACAGCTGGATCAGGATGAAGTTTGAAGCTCCACATGTTTTCTGGGGTCAGGAATATGACTTACTCAGTAGAAATGCATTGGACAATTGAAAATAAAAAAATAAAATAAAATCAACACA